CCCAATTTGGGGTCAAATCCCCCCAATTTTAGGGTCAAATCCCCCCAATTTTGGGGTCAAATCCCCCCAATTTGGGGTCAAATCCCCCCAATTTTGGGGTCAAATCCCCCAATTTTTGGGTCAAATCCCCCCAATTTGGGGTCAAATCCCCCAATTTTGGGGTCAAATCCCCCAATTTTGTCTCTTTTGCCCCCAGGAGGTCCCCACGGTGGCTACCACCACGGCCACTACCACGACGAGGGCTACGGGCCCCCTCCCCCTCACTACGAGGGCCGGCGCCTGGGGCCGCCGCCGGTGGGGGGGGGGCACCGGCGGGGTCCCGGCCGCTACGGACCCCAGTACGGGCACCCCCCGCCCCCCCCGCCGCCGCCCCCCGACTACGGCCCCCACGCCGACTCGCCCGTGCTCATGGTCTACGGGCTGGACCAGGCCAAGATGAACTGCGACCGCGTCTTCAACGTCCTCTGCCTCTACGGGAACGTGGAGAAGGTGGGCGGGGGTCCTGGGGGGGTTTGGGGGGATTTGGGGGGTCCTCAGTGGGGTCTGGGGGGTCCTCAGTGGGGTTTGAGGGTTTTTTGGGGGTCCTCAGTGGGGTCTGGGGGGTCCTGCAGGAGATCTGTGCCACATCCCAGTGTCCCTCACCTGTGCCAGGTGTCCCCTCCGCTGTCCCTGTGCCTTTACCTGTTCCTGTCTCCCCTCACCTGTCCTGCTGTCCCTCCCTTGTCCTGCTGTCCCTCTCCGGTCCCTTTACCTGTCCCCGTGTCTCACCTGTCCCTGTCTCACCTGTCCCTGTGTCCCTTTACTTGTCCCTCTCCCTGTGTCCCACCTGTCCTTGTCCCTCCCCTGTCCCACCTGTCCCTTTGCCTGTCTCACCTGTCCCTGTCTGCCTTGTCCCTTTACCTGTCCTTTTACCTGTCCTTTTACCTGTCCCTGTCCCACCTGTCCCTTCCCTGTGTCACCTGTCCCTGTGTCACCTGTCCCTCACCTGTCCCTGTCCCTTCCCTGTCCCACCTGTCCCCGTCTCACCTGTCCCTGTCTCACCTGTCCCCGTGTCTCACCTGTCCCCGTCTCACCTGTCCCCATCTCACCTGTGTCCCACCTGTCCCTGTCCCCATCTCCCCTGTCCCCGTGTCTCACCTGTCCCTGTCTGTGTCCCTCACCTGTCCCTGTCCCCATCTCACCTGTCCCTGTCCCTCCCCTGTCCGTGTCTCACCTGTCCCCATCTCACCTGTCCCCATGTCCCACCTGTCCCTGTCCCCATCTCCCCTGTTCCTGTCCCCATGTCCCACCTGTCCCTGTCTGTGTCCCTCACCTGTCCCCGTGTCTCACCTGTCCCCATCTCACCTGTCCCCATGTCCCACCTGTCCCTGTCCCCATCTCCCCTGTCCCTGTCTGTGTCCCTCCCCTGTCCCCGTGTCTCACCTGTGTCCCTCCCCTGTCCCCATGTCCCACCTGTCCCTGTCTGTGTCCCTCCCCTGTCCCCGTGTCTCACCTGTCCCCGTCTCACCTGTGTCCCACCTGTCCCTGTCCCCATCTCCCCTGTCCGTGTCCCTCACCTGTCCCCGTGTCTCACCTGTCCCACCTGTCCTTGTCCCCATCTCCCCTGTCCCCGTGTCTCCCCTGTCCCCATGTCTCACCTGTCCCACCTGCGCAGGTGAAGTTCATGAAGAGCAAGCCGGGCGCGGCCATGGTGGAGATGGCCGATGGCTACGCCGTGGACCGAGCCATCACCCACCTCAACAACAACTTCATGTTCGGCCAGAAGCTCAACGTCTGGTGGGCTTGGGGGGCCCGGGGATTTTGGGGGGTCCTGGGGGGTCCTTGAGACATTTTGGGGGGTCCTGAGTGGTTTTGGGGGTCTTTGAGTGATTTTGGGGGGTCTTTGGGGGTCCCAACCCCGTCCCCACATCACCCACCTCAACAACAACTTCATGTTCGGCCAGGAGCTCAACGTCTGGTGGGCTTGGGGGGCCCGGGGATTTTGGGGGGCGCGTAGGGAAAGAGGGGGGGTCTTGGGGGTCGCTGGGTGACTATAGGGGTGTTTTGGTTGGGGGTCCCAACCCCGTCCCCCCATCACCCACCTCAACAACAGCTTCATGTTCGGCCAGGAGCTCAACGTCTGGTGGGCTTGGGGGGCCCGGGGATTTTGGGGGGTCCTGGGGGGTCCTTGAGACATTTTGGGGGGTCCTGAGTGGTTTTGGGGATCTTTGGGGGCATTTTGGGGGGTCTTTGGGGGTCCCAACCCCGTCCCCACATCACCCACCTCAACAACAACTTCATGTTCGGCCAGGAGCTCAACGTCTGGTGGGCTTGGGGGGCCCGGGGATTTTGGGGGGTCCTGGGGGGTTCTGAGTGATTTTGGGAGTTTCTGGGATATTTTGGGGGCTCTCCAAGCAGCACGCCATCGTGCTGGGGCAGTCCTGGGGGGTTTTGGGGTGGATTTTGATGATTTTGGGCTGGATTTTTGTGGTTTCTGGGTGGATTTTTGCGCTTTTTTCGGCTCTTTGACCCATTTTTTCCCCGTTTTTTCCCATTTTCTCCCCTTTTTTCCCCGTTTTCCCCCCCAGCGTGTCCAAGCAGCACGCCATCGTGCCAGGGCAGTCCTGGGGGATTTTGGGGTGGATTTTGATGATTCTGGGCTGGAGTTTTGTGGTTTCTGGGTGGATTTTTGTGCTTTTTTCGGCCATTTGACCCGTTTTTCCCCGTTTTTTCCCCATTTTCCCCCCCAGCGTGTCCAAGCAGCACGCCATCATTCCAGGGCAGTCCTGGGGGTTTTTGGGGTGGATTTTGATGATTTTGGGGTGGATTTTTGTGGTTTCTGGGTGGATTTTTGTGTTTTCTGGGTGGATTTTTGTGCTTTTTTTGGCTCTTTGACCCGTTTTTCCCCGTTTTCTCCCCGTTTTCCCCCCCAGCGTGTCCAAGCAGCACACCATCATGCCGGGGCAGTCCTGGGGGGTTTTGGGTGGATTTTGATGATTTTGGGGTGGATTTTTGTGGTTTCTGGGTGGATTTTTGTGCTTTTTTCGGCTCTTTGACCCATTTTTTCCCCGTTTTTCCCCGTTTTCTCCCCATTTTCCCCCCCAGCGTGTCCAAGCAGCACGCCATCATGCCGGGGCAGTCGTACGGGCTGGAGGACGGCTCGTGCAGCTACAAGGATTTCAGCGGCTCGCGCAACAACCGCTTCTCCACGCCCGAGCAGGCGGCCAAGAACCGCATCCAGCACCCCAGCAACGTGCTGCACTTCTTCAACGCGCCGCTCGACGTCACCGAGGACAACTTCTACGAGGTGCCCGCCTTCCTCAGCCTCCTCCTCAGCCTCCTCATCATCATCCTCAGCTTCAGCCTCATCCTCATCATCATCCTCCAAGGCCTCATCCGAGGCTTTCTCGTAATTCTCATCCTCCTCCTCCGAGGCCTCCTCATCCTCCTCTTCCTCAGCCTCATCCTCCTCATCTGAGGCCTCCTCCTCATCCTCCTCATCATCCTCCTCCTCCTCAGCCTCATCCTCCTCATCCTCCTCATCATCCTCCTCTTCCTCAGCCTCATCCTCCTCATCCTCCTCATCATCCTCCTCTTCCTCAGCCTCATCCTCCTCATCATCATCCAAGGCCTCATCTGAGGCCTTCTCCTCCTCCTCCTCCTCCTCCTCCTCCTCCTCATCATCCGAGGCCTCTTCCTCATCCTCCTCCTCATCCTCCTCTTCCTCAGCCTCATCCTCCTCATCTGAGGCCTCCTCCTCATCCTCCTCCTCATCCTCCTCTTCCTCAGCCTCATCCTCCTCCTCATCCAAGGCCTCCTCCAAGGCATCCTCATCCTCCTCATCCTCCTGCTCATCCTCCTCCTCCCCATCTGAGGCCTCCTCATCCTCCTCATCTTCATCCTCATCCCAGGCCTCATCCTCAGCCTCCTCAGCCCCCTCCTCCTCCTCCTCCTCCTCCTCCTCCTCCTCCTCGGCCTCAGCCTCCAAGCCCCCTCCTCAGACCCCCCCAAACCCCCCCACCCCCC